AGCCAACATCATAAGATCTTTTGCATGAAACAAAGCCCAAATCCAAAGAAAAATAAAAAAATTACTATCTTTTTACCTCTCTCTTTCTCAAAGACTATCCTCCGGCTACTAATACAGAAGACGACGTCGCCAAACTGTCAATGTACGACCGTAGGAGTGGGTAACGTGGGTTTCGCCTTTCTCTGGACTCTGGTTCTTCTCGGATTCTCGCACAGTCGTACAAATGAAGCACAAAGGATTTATAGGTTGGAAAAATTAGGAATTAGGTATTTTAAAAAAAAGCTGAGGCCCTTAAATTTTTAGGCCTGAGGCAAGGGCCTCACTTGCCTCGGCCCAAAATCGGCTCGACTGGTAATTGATCTTATTAAAGGAAATTACATAATTCCAGGTATTTCAACTTCAGTGTGCAAAAATCAGGTGAGAAGATTTTTCAATCAAAATTCAGGTATTGAATTAAAAATTAAATATTATACTCACCCTACCTAATCTCAAACCCTAAATCATTTTTCTTCTACCTCTCTTTCTCTCCTCGTCTCTCTCTACCCTCTCCATTTTCATCTACCCTTAGATCGCCGTCGCCATTGAGGAGCTCCCGCAGCATAAGGGTCGAGCAGTGGCGTCGTCGCTGCTGTGCTAGCCCTTGCAGCCGGCGACGTGAGCCCCGACAGCGGTATCCCCCTCGTCGTTGCTAGAGTTCGATATGAGCACCTGTCGTCGAAGACACCTCCAAACGCTGCTACGAATCCCTTTGATGTGAGAGTATCCTCACAGCCGGCGATGTAAGTGTCTGCAGCGGCATCGCCCTCGTCACTGCTACAGTTAGGTAAGGGCTCTATGGGAACTTGCTTCTTTTGTGGTGGTGATGACAGTGTGTAGTAGGTGCTGTGAAGTGGTGTGGGGTGTTGTTTTGGCGATGTTGCGGTGGTGTTGCTGGTGGTGGTGACTGGTGGTCTGTAGCTGCGTTTCAATCTCTTCCGCCGTGGATGGCGACTTATGGGTGGTCTGTGGTGGAGTTAATTGTGGGGTTTCATCGGCCATTTTTCGAGATCGAGAGAGAAAATTTGGGGAGGGATCTGAGGTTTTTGTGTGGTAGCGTCTGTGGTGGTGGATCGGCGGTTGGGGTGGTGGCCGTGCTTTGTTTGGTGGCTGTGGGTGGTGGCGGTGTTTTGTGTGGTGGTGGATCTGGCAGTTGTGTGGTAGTGATGTTTTGTGTGGTGGTGGTGGCGCTCAGATAGGCTTCTCTTGCAACGCCGCTGTAGCAGCTGTAATGTTGGGTTTGTGCGCCGTCGCCGCCGTTGTAATGAAGAGATCGGAGTGTCTGGTTTGTAGTGGGTTCGGCGATCTGAAATTTTAGCCGGTTCGGTGTCTGTACCACGATTGTTGCTGGTCAGATCTACTTGCGGTGTTGCTGTCGGGAGGTGGTGGTGGTTCTGGCGGCGACGGTGGCAATTGTGCTGCTGGGAGGGAGTGGCGAGGTGGGGGTCACAAGCGTTGGTTGTGGTCACAAATTATTTTGTTGATTGTGAGCATTAAATTGGTTAATCTGTAACCAATCAACAATATGTGACCAATGAAAAAGATAAAATGTGACAAAAAAATAATATGTGACCTAAAAAATTATTAATTTGTGACCGTAATATTATAATTTGTGACTGTATAATAAGTTGTGACTTATAATATTTGTGATTTGTGACCGATAAATAAATTGTGACTTTTAAATTTTTAATTTGTGACCGATGAACAAATTGTGACCTATAAAAATTTTTAGTTGTGACCGTAAAATAATTTGTGACATATAAAAATTCTGATTTGTAACCGAAAAATAATATGTGACTAATTAAATGGTTAATTTGTGAGCAAATTGTATAGATCTGTGATCTTAATATATTTAATTAATTAATTAAATCATAAATAATTTTTAATAAAAACTTGATTTTTGAAATTTCAAACCTCTATCATTAATTTTGAAATGGTGATATTTAAATACCTTCTTTATGTATTGTTCCCTTATTAATATTTCAAATCAATGTAAAGGTCAAATTAACCTCAAAAATGTAATTAAAGATTGATTTGAACTAAAGTAAATATGCTCATTAGGCTATTGAACTTGCTTGGATCATATAGACATTACAATAAAAACAACTTTTGGCAACGTTCAAAAAATGTTGTGGAATGTCTTTTACAACGTTCGAACGTATGTTGCAAATCTTGATGTTGCGGTAGAGTAGAAGGATACAACAACTTTTTTTGAATGTTGCGAATAACCTTTTTGCAACGTTTTTTAAGTGTTGTGAATAACCTTTTTGCAGCATGTTTTGGAACGTTGCGAATAAATCTTTTGCAGAGTTCTTTGAGCGTTGCTAATAACATTTTTGCAACGTTTTTTAAATGTTGCAAATAACTTTTTTGCAACGGTTTTTAAGTGTTGCAAATAACCTTTTCGCAACATTTTTCAGTGTTGCCAACTTTTTTTTTTTTTTTGTAGCGTTTATTAAACATTGCAGAAAGTTAAACTTTTCGCCACGTGTAATAAACGTTGCGAAAAGTTTTTCTTTTTGCAACATTTAATAAACGCTAGGAAAATTAACTTTCTGCAACATTTATTAAACATTAGAAAAAGAGAAACTTTTTTGCAAAAAAACAAAAAATTCCTACAACACTTAATAAATGTTACAAAAAGGCGACATCAGCAACATTCTTTTAAAAAATATTGCCAAATCTCAATTATTTTTACCAATGACAACATTCACTTACATTTTTGTTGCAATAAACACTTTTAGCAACATTAATTTATGACAAATGTTGTATTTTATGTGTTGAAAAATGTCATTTTTATTGTAGTGATAGACAAATCGAAGTAGCTCGACAAGAAATGAGCCATGTAGACCATTCCATGGGGGTGGTGAAGAGAGAGCCCCAATTGGTAGAAAAAAATCACAATCTGACGGGGTTATCTTGCATTTGGAAGCAGAACTAGAACAGTGAATAAATAAAGTGATACTTTGATTATTCATCATTGTAGTAAATAAGCTTTTGTTAGTTAAAGTTTTTCTAATTCCACGCAATTGAATGAGGCAATGGCACGCATTCATTCTTGAACTTGAAGGAATATTGTGTTGCTGCCACACAAGATCCCAACATATCATTAGCATCATAAGTTCACGCATTATATAAAATGTCCAAACTTGAACTTGGGGGAGTATTGTGTTGTACCTCGACACAATCAAGCAAATGGTCAACTCTTTATATAGTGTAATAAAGATAAACACTTCACACCAGAATATCACTTTTCCAACGACGACATTTATACGATGTTGCATATCATAGATAATTTCTTTCACGTTCAGCTTAAAGTCCACACATTATATAAATATTCATACTTAAACTTGAGAGACTATTATTACGTCTTATCCTACAATTCTCCAAGCATCGACCATGTCTCAGATCCACACTTCATGGAGGTGATCAGACATAGGTAGTCGAATTGATCACCGCCTAAACCAAAGGTCTGTGTCTGGGCATTTTAACTGGAACTGAAACTCCTGAATCGAAATTGAAGGTTCCAATTTTTGTTTTTTTTAAAAAAAATAGGAATCAAAATTGAGAATCAAGAATCGCATGGGTTCGATTCAGTTCTTGGTTCCTGAACCAGAACCATGGGTAACCGAATGGAACCAAGTTTTTATATAATTTTTTATTTACAATTTATCGGTTGGGTAAAAAAATGTGCAAAATCTAAAATTCGCAAGTTAAAAACAAGAATAAAGAAGTTGATTTGAAAATTAAATACGAAATATTGCACACATCCATTACTCAATAATGATGCAAAAAAAGTTTTACTTAGTTTTTCTTTCTTCCTGCCGCATGATAAATTTTTTAGCTATTGTACACTTCCAAATTTTGAAGAAACTTATTTCAATGAAAACAAACATAGAGAATATTTTAGCTCTAAAGAACACGAAAAGTAATACAAATATTATTTGTGTTTCAGGAACTATAACGGAAGCATACCAACATGTTGTAATTGGGTTATGACACTGTGTGATCAACCATCAATGGCGGAGGGAGGTGGGAGCAACTGGGATCCTAACCTCCCTGAAATTTGAGAATACCCAATTTATATGAACTTTTTTTTATGTTTTTGTACTTTTATTTTTAATATATTATATTTTGTGTTTAAAATTATTTCTTTAATTTAGCACGTGTTTGACAACCATTAAATGGAAAAAAACTATGTTTTAAATAGTGATTTTTAAGAGAATATGTAGTTAAAAAGTGGAGAAAAATTTTGAATTTACGTGCAAAATACTTTATTGTGTGAATGTGTGGTTGAAAATGAATATTTTATATCTTTCATAATTTCGATTAGAATTCACCATTCTACAGTATTAATTGACGTCGCGACCCAGCTAGTTTTGATAATCCAATAATCCGCAAACATGCATTATTGTTATTATTATTATAAATTATTTATTTCTTTAATCAACCAGAGAATAAAAACTGTGCAGTGTTTTCTTGAGAAATGGTCTACCAAGTACAAGTGCTTAGCACGATGATATAGTACATCAATTAATTTAATTCTTCATTTCATGGATATTTAGCAAAATATCAGAATCATTTATAATCTTGTTTTTATGCCCTTGTTTGAGCCACATTATTTCCATAAGAATGTATTTTTGAATAGTGCATTGATGAAGAATGCGTGGTTAAAAAATAAAGAAAAATTTTGAATTTGTGTGTAATATTATTTTATTGAAAAATATGTAGTTGAAATGATGTTAAATCACTGTTTAAGAATGTATTTTGTTTTTTAAAAAAAAGAACGCGGTCCGGGGCTATATGTCACCAAATAGGGGGGCTAGATCTCTAAAACAATTTTTGACTTTGATATCATTTCATAAATCAAATCAAACCCTTCCCCTTCCCCTGCCTCTCGCCAACGGCTACCTCTATCTCTCTCTATTTGTCTGATTCTCTCTCTCAAAACCATTCACGCAAAAATGAAGCATTTCATGATGCCAAGAAATCAAATATTGAGAGAGAATCATGAGTCCGCTACACCATCAACACCATCCGCATTTCCGAACCTTAAAAGTAAATCGATAGCAGCAGCAAGCCCTAGCAACCGGAGACAAAATTCTTATAAAGAAAATTCGGCGCCGACATCAGATCCGAACTCGACTGCGTCACCTGCCACTGCCAAGATGAAGAGCCTGTCATGGCTAACTTCATTTTATTGGGCCATTTATTATCTAGTGGGCTTGTATTAGGTGGGCTAGCCAAAGCCCAGTTTTGTTCCATATAGGTTGAAGTTGGACGATGAATTGGGGGTGAATTGATGAATTGGGGGTGAATTGTGGTTCCCTCTCCAGTCTTCTGCCCTCTTCTCCTCCTGCTGGTTTCTTCCTCTTCACCGTCTCCTCCTCCTCCGGTCTTCTTCACGGTTTCTCCAGCTTTCTCCTTCTTCTCTGTTCTTCTTCTTCTCTGGTAAGGTTCTTTCACTTGTAATTCCTTGTATTGTAATAGAAAATATCAGTTTAATGAAATATAGTTAACATTAAACTGCTGGGTATTGAATTTAGTTCAATTATTCTGGTTTATTTGGTGTTTGGTTGAGTTTTGGTGTGAAATTGGAGTTCAACCATTTCAATTGGTATCAGAGTAGTACATGAGCTGGGAAAGAAAATGGAAACTCTTGGTAAAAATCAGGAAGAACAAATTAAAAGGTTCGAAAAGAAACTGGGAGTTCTGAATGTGACTGCAAATTCATGGGATCAAATGTTGAAGAGGGTCTGCACTAAGCAAGATAGGATGGAGCAATTGATGGGGGAAATGAACAGAAAAAATGAATTGATCATTTCAATGTTCAATAAAATGATGGAGGCTCAATCAGCACATATCCTTGATTGTGTTGCTGGAATATCCTGCAATCTTTGCAATGTGTTGGGGAAAGGTTTTGAAGGACATTCACAGTTTCCATTCGCTGAAACCGCAGTTGGTGTTAGCAAGGTAATTAAAAATTCTATTACCTTAGAGAATTCCAAACAAGACAGTCTCTGGAAGTGATTTAGTTAGTTCAAATGATAATGTGAAAGCATGTGATATTGTTGTAAATGATGAGCATTTCTATCCGTCAATGAATGAACTCAAACGCAATGCTTAGAAGTTTAGGGATGATGACTGTATTTGGATTTTGCTCAAGACCTGTTGGACAGGAGAATTATAGTGCAATCAGAGCCGAAAAGTTAGTAATTTTGAAGGCCTATATTGTGAGAATGTTGAATGCGTGCCCATTCCACCGATTTCTACAGAAACATGGTCTGATCGAATGAAAGGATCTGGAAGGAGCATACTAATTGCTGATGGAGATGAGGATGAAGTTGAAGAAATTGCACCCAGCTCAGTTGGTGAATATACACTTGATGGAAAATATAGCTTCAGAACCATTGGGAATGGCAATTATGAAACAAATAAGGATGCACGAAGTAGCATCCAAGAGAAAATGCAATTTGGGATCTCTTTAGTTTCATCAAGTGTAGATCAATATTGGCCGGAAATAACAGTTATCATGTTGAGAGGCCCTTGCAGCATGACAAATGGTCTAACAGAAAGGATGGTTTTCTTGGTACCAATATTTCGGGTGCAAAGTTTGGTAGCCCAATTCCAACCAGCCCAACAGTTTGGCTTAAAGATGAAAAGAGTGGTGCAGGTAATGTCAACCAAGCATATGCCACCTTGCACTACTTGCTTAATCTAAGGGTGGTGAAGAGAATGAGACAGCTGCTAATAGCATACAAAGAAGACATTCCGACTTTGAACCTTGAGGACAAGGTTAATTTAAGGGGAAGGGATGTCATGGGTAACTTCTTTTTATTGGGCCATTTATTATCTAGTGGGCTTGTATTAGGAGGGCTAGCCCAAAGCCCAATTTTGTTCCATATAGGTTGAAGTTGGACGATGAATTGGGGGTGAATTGAATTGTAGTTTCCTCTCCAGTGTTTTGCCCTCTTCTTCCTTTCCTCCTCCTGCTCTCTGGTTTCTTCCTCTTCACCGTCTTCTCCTCCTTCTCCGGTCTTCTTCCCGGTTTCTCCAGCTTTCTCCTTCTTCTCTGTTGTTCTTCTTCTCTGTCGCCGGTCTTCTCTCTGGTAAGGTTCTTTCACTTGTAATTCCTTGTATTGTAATAGAAAATATCAATTTAATGAAATATAGTTTACATTAAACTGTTGGGTATTGAATTTAGTTCAATTATTCTGGTTTATTTGGTGTTTGGTTGAGTTTTGGGGTGAAATTGGAGTTTAACCATTTCAAAGCCCGCTTCCTTCGTGGCCCACGCTCAAGCAAAAGCTCAGTGTGGATGCCGCAGTGGGATTGGAGAATAGTGATGGGCCTACGAATCCTGCCGATTCTGTTGTGAAGGTGAATATCTGGAAGAAAATTTGATTTTAGATGATTTTGGTTTTACTTCAACTTGCATTGGTTAGTGAGGTTTATAGTATTGTTACCTTCGGATTCAGTAGTGTACCGTTCATATTTGTGTTGGAATTTTCATATTGTTGGATAAAACCTCTATATGATTTGAGTTCCCGTAATTTTTTGATTTTATTTTATTTTCTACTTACGAAGCTCCATTTTTTTGAAATTCCCCCTCCTCTTCGAATGTGAGGTGACATCTCCAGCATAAATGCCAGGAGCATGTAAAGTTGATATAGGATCTTCTGGAACAAGATTTGGTTTTTTACATGGTTCTGAATGAATGAAGTAGTACTTGTGCAGCTGAATTTTTGTTAAGTTAGAAAATTTGTGAAACTTACATTTTATTTTTGAAGAAACCAAGTTAGTCAATTGCTATTGGGTTTGAGCAATTGAAGTCTTTGAATTAATAAGAGTGAAATGGTAATAAGAATGAATTCTGCAACTTAATCTGGAACTACAATAATTCTTCTCTCCGTGTTTTCAGGTAAAATTGGAAATGCATGGCTATAATATTGAGCTACAACAATTTAAATTTTGAATTTCATGTTGGTCTATGAAACTTTTGAATGAACTTTATTGGATATTGTGAAGTGGATGATGAAAGCTTCTTCTACTATATTTGGATAATTTCGTTTTTATTTTGGTTTCAATTATCTTTGTGGACATTCACTTGAATTTTACTGTAACCCCTTTGTTTTGACCATAGCTTTAGTTAAGATTTGTCACTTGGTCACTGAAAATTGTTTAGGACGTTAATATGTGATTCAAAAATACTGGGTTTGTGTTTGTAACCATATAAACCAGGTAATAGTGCGCATCAGACCGCCAAACAAGGTTGAGGAAGATGGAGGGTCAGTAGTTCTGAAATTATCAAATGATTCTTTGTCAATAGCATGGCAAACCTTTACATTTGACTCAGTTGCAAATATTGAGTCTACACAGGCAAGATTCTACTATTTTATAATTTTAATGTGTAAGCAAATTTATAAACCTAAATATAAAAAACGAGATAGTGAAACTTGATCTGTAACATTATCTATTTCAGATTGATATATTCCAGCTCATAGGGGCACCCCTCGTTGAAAATTGTCTAGCTGGATTTAACAGTTCAATGTTTGCCTATGGCCAGGTAATTTTGTTTTCATCTATGCATGCATTTTACAGCAGGACTGGTGTTATTATATCCAGTGAAACAAGTGCATGCATACAATTGAATGTTACGATAAAATGTAATTTTTCTGCTAAGGATGACATGTCTGCAATTCTATTAACCAGACGGGGAGTGGAAAAACCTATACTATCTGGGGTGCATCCAATGCCTCATTGGAAGAACATGATCAACAAGGCTTAACACCTCGAGTTTGCCAGCGATTATTTGAGCGCATTAATGAGGTCTTCTATTTCATTATTGATTTTTTTCCCCTACATGATTCTTATCACTCTTGCCCTGACATTCAGTTATATATTCTTACTTTGTGGGATTTCAATTGTCCTTTTAGGAACAAGTGAAGCGTGCTGATGAACAGCTTGTATATATGTGTTGATGCTCTTTCCTTGAGGTACTTGGCTCTGATATCTTTTGTGCTCTACAGAAAATATAACTTAGTTATCTCTCCTCTGAATCCTTTGAATGGCATATTTACAGATTTACAATGAGCAAATTACTGATTTGTTGGATCCAAATCAAAAAAATCTCCAGGTAAAAAAGCAGAGATATGTACTTCCGTGAAGATTGTGTGAAATTGGTGCCTTACATTATCTCATTGAAATGTCCTTTTTATTCAATTTTTCTCATTACAGATAAGAGAAGGCGTCAAAAGTGGGGTTTATGTTGAAAATTTGACAGAGGAGTGTGTATCCTCAATGGAGGATGTGTCACAACTTCTAATAAAGGTTTGTTCTGCTTTTCTGCTTTATTAATGTTTGAAGTGGCATCCTTCGAATTTGTTAGTATTATACTATAATTTAGGGTATTTCAATTACAGTTCACTTTTATTCGAAGGAAATAAAATTGCGTAGGACTATGCTTTAGTACCTTGAGATTATTTTTGGGTAGGTGAGGTTATGTTGTGATTTACATGTTCTTACCGTTCAAAGAAAGATAATCACATATAACAATTGTATCTTGAAAAGAAATTGAGGGTGTGCTTGAGCCACATTATTTTGGAAGAATGTATTCTGGAATAGTAGATTGATGGAGAATTTGTGTTTGAAAAAGAAGGAAAAGTTATTGATGTGATGGAAAATATCATTTTATTGAAGAATGTATGGTTGAAAATGAGTAGAAGAATGAGAATG